TGTGTACACTCACGCTCCTTTGTGCATCGAACATCAGTGTTCTGTAAAGTTGTGCAAAGTTGTGGTAGGACAGGTCACTCCTGGCCTCCACTTCCTGTTAGTGAGAGACAAACGTCAGTCAGAAAAAAGAAAAAGAGATGTAGTTGTAGAAACAGAAATAAAAAGTTTATTATTATTATTTTCCCTCTCTGACCTGTAGCTTATCTTTAAGGAACCGCATGTTGGGAACCCTGTAGTTGATCTGCGGCAGCAGCGCTTTGACGTCTTTTACTGTGATACTAGAAAGATAAAAAGACTGGTATTAATACAAGTCACAGTGAAAAATGTTTACTATTGCTAAAAAATTAACTTAAAAAATGGTCAATTGATGTTTGACGTTCTTCGACAGCAGGTGGTGGTGCTGTATGGCTTAAGATCAAATCTGATATTTCTACATCAAAAATACTACCAGTAGTTTTTTTTTTTTTGTTTTGTTTTTTTGTTAGTGGACAGTTTTTGCCTGAATTTCCACATTTGTAAACACTGTGAAAACTTTCACATATTCTTCAGCACTGACTGCACTTTGTCCTGGACTTTGCTCTCTGTTGTGTTGGAAAAATGAAAATTCTCACCTTTGTTTACAGTGACATTTTTAGGCCACTCTCAGTACTGTACTTTTACCAGAACAACTATTCATTATTATTCAAGACTTTTTTTTATCATTATTACGACAGAAATCCAACACCAAAAATAGGGGTCAAATTAAAATGGGGGTCTTAAATCTCCCTTTGGCCTCATGGTCCTACAGTATGACAAACATACATACGAAAAAACTTTTATTTATTTATTTATTTTCATTTTCAAAGTTCATAATACTAACTTCCATTAAGGAATATGTTCCTAAAACAAGAATGTCTATAGACTAAGAAGAAAACTATAGACATGCTTTTGCCAATTTTTACTAATGTCTTTACCACTGTCTTTATTTTTATGTTTTTTTATTTTATTTTTTTTAGCACAAACAGCACATGGACATTCACTTCAGCTGATTAGGAAAACACACACACACACGCACGCACAGTCATGAAGAGAAAAGCGAAGACGTTCAGGAAACATCATCTACTTGTCACTGCCAGTTAAATTGGTTTCCATCCTCTGTTTCTACTTCTGTTTACTTCTGTTTCTATTTTTCACAGGAGACAGGAAATTGTACAGTCCAAGGCCTGGTTCATTGCGTCACTTCCTGCTCCTTATCTGGCTGCAGCAGACTGTTTGTCCTGGAGCCGCTTCCACCCAAACAGTAGCCGCAGTTTAAGAACAGGAACAGCGGGCGCTGAGGTCCCATCACCGACAGGACCATAACGAGGTCTTTGAAAACATCTGGATCTGGTTTCACCTCCGCTGTTCACTGCTGTGACTGAATCACCATCGATTGTCACAAGCCGCTGATTAAGGTTACGACTGTGTGTGGACTGGCTGCTGGCTAACCCACCTGCCCTCGTGGTTCCTGTCCATGACTTCAAACTGTTTCTTCAGCCACCTGCAGAGGGAGACATAGAGACAACAAAATACCGTAAATAAAAGTAACACAAAACGACAGTCACACAACATATACAGTTTTAACGGAAATCTTTAAATTTAATTTAATGGAAAGTTGAAATGATCCCACATGAATTATTACTGCCACAGAATTTGAAAACAAAAATATCAGAAACATTACAAAGACAATGTAAACTATGCATAATACAATAATAATAATAATAAATATGTTTTTGACTATTCAGGATTGTTTATACTTTTTAATCTGGACCAGTTCACCTAAAATAGAACCTCAATCTCTCCTTCAATTTGTTAAAGCACTTTAAATTTAAAATACATACAAAAAGTACAGTAATTTTTGGTTTGTTCTATTGAATAATTAACCAATTAAAAATAAGTGAAGGTGAATATTTACTAGTTTTATGCTTTGACATGGAATAATTAACAAAAACATCTCACTGCGTGGAGTTTTATGTAAATGTTCCAACGTCTCAGTCTAGAGAAATGTTACACATGGTTGAGTCTTGGGAGGAAAAGTTTAAGGAGGACAGAAGAAGAGCTCCTTCCTGTCTGTGCTTTTCTAATCCTGTGAAATAACCTGAAGCTCAGCTGATGAATCTACTCCTTCAAACTGTTTACACCACAGATGCAAACAGACAATTTTAGAATTTCCTTTTCCACTGACCATTTCCAAATATACACTGTTCTCTCTCTCTCTCTCTCTCTCACTCACTCACTCACTCTCTCTCTCTCTCTCTCTCTCTATCTCTCTCAAACATATCCTAACAGAATCCTTCTGTTCTTCTCCGGACACAGGAGCCAAAAAGCTGCGTCCACACGTCATGTGTGGACTTCTCTGTGACTTCTCTGAATGAAACCAGGTACCAGACATGATTCTGCATTTAATATATATATATATATGTAAATATATATTTTATATACATTTGGATCTACGGTACTTTTCTTAAATTTTATTTCTCTTGATTTTATTTCTCCTGATCCCATGAAGTGGGAGACACTCACCTGTCCACCTGCAGCGGCGCTGGCGCTTTCTGAGTGTCAGTCATCAGCCAGTTGAGGCCAGTGACCCACATGTTAACCTCCTCTTCACTAAAAGCTGTGATGTCACAGAAAAATGAAAGACAGATCACTGAAAAGCCTTAAATGTTTTCTGTAGAAAACAAATGGAGTTTATTCAGTGGGACGGAGATATTCAGGTCCACAGATGTCCTCCACAGATGATTAGGGAGAAACAGACTGGAAATCTTCAGACTGTTCTGTTCCTCATGCAACTGGGCTTGCTCGAGTTTTTTTTACAGACATTTTACTGCTCGTCCAACAGAACAGCTTGAACTTCCTTTGGGGATTTAACGGCCTGGATTACTGAGAACCTTCAGACATGACTGCGTTACTTTAAAACTATAACCAATCTTGTGTAAAATACCTTGTAACGTGTAATGTTATTCTCCTGCTTACACACAGCAGCCAATTTGATATTGTTTGAGAAGTAAAAAGTTAGAAATGTACATTAGTGGCCAAGTGAGTTAGGAAATGGGGATTTTATTTTTTTTCTTTACGGGTTTCCTGTGGAAAATGTTTTAAGGGATTGACATAAAAACAAACTTTGACTGGCAATTTAAACACTGACCAGCTACACTGAGTGTCCTGAGCCGAAACTCGAGGCCGTACAGCACAATGAAACAGTGGGTGGAGTCCAATTTACGAGCCTCCTCTGCGTAGCGCTCAAAATCCCGGGAGCCCTTCCCCAGCCGCAGCTCCCGGATCTCTCGTATGTCGACTGGAGGATAGAGACAGGAAGGAAGGAAGGAAGGATAATGTTGCATGAGAACAATTATGCAGAAGTATAAATCACAGCTTGACTCGTTGTTAGTTTCCCTGTCAAACACATTGGAATTTGCAACAAGTGTGCTGAACCCCCACCCCTCACTCACTCACCCACTCTCCCAAGGTTTTACAGTGAGGCAAGCATCACAGCTGTTTGTGGTAGGATTCTGGTTAATGACTTCAGCAAACTTATGTTGTGTGCAAATGGATTTAGAGGAAAATTCACTAATATTTAAAACACAAAGAATGACACAGTGTTGCTGCAAATTGGCCAGTGTGAAACCTGGTCTGTATTTTGTTGTAAAAATGACCAAAAAAAACCTTTTTATCATATGATGTCAAATTGTCAAGAGCATACAGCTGAAAAATAAAAAAGTGAAAATGCAAGTTTAAGCCCCAAAATTGGCATCCATGTGTATATTTTGTGCTACAAATGCATTTTGTTTACCTCTAAAGGTCAAAATGTAGCTATAATTACAACAATAATATTAATGTTTTACTTTTTATACATTGTATTTTTAATTGATACGGACTTAATATTGAACGTTTAAATCAATATCAAATTCAATAGAATTCTGACGTAAAAAATAAAAATCATATCAAAATCTGAGATTCTTAACAATACCCAAGCCTAGCATACTAATACATTTCTAAAAAAACTCTTAAGAAATAAAAAATCCCCAAAACAATTTAAATTTTAAGTTTATCTAAAATTGTATACATATGCATGTTCCTAATTTGTTACAAGTTTTTAACAAAACCCCAATTTTTGGTCATATGTTGACAAAAAGTTTTTTTTTGTTTTTTCAAAATTTTGTCTTTTCTGCATGATTCTCATCCAAATATAGCATTTTGAAGAAAAAAAATCAGAATATTCTGTTTTTGGTAAATTTCAGCCTGATTTTAGGTCAGATGTTGAAAAACTAAGATGAAAAATTTTGAATTTTTTTTTCAAATTTCTGTCTTTTCTGGATGTTTCTCATCAAATTACAGTTTTTTGAAAAAAAAAATTCAAAATATTTTTTTTCAAGATTCTTTGGCAAAACCCTCATATTTGGTCAGATGTTGAAAAACTATGATGAAAAATTTAGATTTTTTTTTACAGTTTAGTTATTTCTGCATATTTCTCATCAAATTACAGTTTTTTGAAAAAAAAAAATTCAAAATATTTTTTTTCAAGATTCTTTGGCAAAACCCTCATATTTGGTCAGATGTTGAAAAACTATGATGAAAAATTTAGATTTTTTTTTTCATCAAAATTTTCTTTTCTGCATGTTTCTCATCAAATTACAGCATTTTGAAAAAAAAATTCGAAAAAAAAATTTTTGGGGAATTTTTCAGCCAAACTTTGATTTTGGGTCAGATGTTGAAAAATTATGATGAAAAAAAAGATTTTTTTTTTCTTCAAAATTTTCTTTTCTGCATGTTTCTCATCAAATTACAGCATTTTGAAAAAAAATTCGAAAAATATTTTTTGGGGAATTTTTCAGCCAAACCTTGATTTTGGGTCAGATGTTGAAAAACTATGATGAAAAATTTTGAATTTTTTTTTTTCAAATTTTTGTGTTTTCTGCATGTTTCTCATCAAATTTCAGCATTTTGAAAACATTTACGTACGTGACTGTGAGAGAGACACA